TTCCAGGTCTGATTTGAAGACTCACCACCAATAGCAAAAAGACACACACAGCACTAAGTACTTTTACAAAGGGACCTGCCTACCCTTCTCTGAAGCAATCTAATTTATTAGCTCATCCCCGTTTATCTGCCTTGCTTCCTAGTTCTCCATAGATCTGCCAGATTGCTTAACCTTTCCTGTCTCATGGACATTCTTAGATAGGACTTGATTAATTTTAGTTTGCTTTCATTAGCAGCCATGGTTACAGGAAGACAGCAAAATATACGCAGTGCTGTTTCCATGTTAGGGAAACTCACATATAAAGACCTTTCATGTATGTAGCTGGGGAGATCAATGGGTACCTTTGTTTCTAAGTCATCCTTAAAAATTAATTTGCAAAAACTGGCAAAGAGCTCAATCTTGTTTTCAAAACTCTCAGACTTTAAATCCTCTGGGTAGATGCTTGCTACGTTTCAAGCGTGCCTCTATAGGTTTTCGCTGCTGAGACTTGAAGCAAACCTTTCTCTGACTTCATCATACATATGCATACTAGTCTCCAATTGTGTTAATATTGTGTCTAAGATGGGTTTTGAAAACTTTTTCAGGATCTGATGATCTTTTGTCCTTTGCAAGTTCACCTGGCATTATTTTTCTCTTTTGACGTTATTTCTCTTTGGGCTGCATGGATATGCCTAACATTTCAGTCTGCGAAGCAGGAGCTTTCTTAGATGCGATGAACCCAAAAGCCCATAATTCTGACAAAGCATCTTGAAGGCCACCAACTAAACTGCAAGCCATTTGAATGTCAAGATCCAGACTCAAATTTGTTGCTCATAATGTTAATTTTTGATGAGATAGTATATTGTATCTCTTCCAAAACAACAATTGAAAGCTCTGGTTTGCAAGCTATCAGCTTCCAACTTAAATTCTAGTGTAAGATTGTGTGAAGCCATGATCGTGTCTAAAAGCATCAAAAACACCCTCAACTTGATTTTTTAGTGGTTGGATTCCCTCTGCCTTTGCTGACCATCTTGTTATTTTTCATGCTAATATGCTTTTTCAACATATCTCAATGACTAGTAGAAGCGGAAAACAAGGTATACGATCTTTGAACAATTCCAACTTGAGAAACAATCATTGAAGCAGCTTCCCCCATAGTTTCAGTGAATGGGCAGCACATGGGACAAAAGACATGTTGATTTACCTGCTGAATTTGATTTTCAACACTGTTGTATGCTGCACCCACATTAGCTCTGTGTCACAGCTGTGGCCCTTGCAATCAGCCATAACTAAACCCTTTTTCCCCCCAGCTTCTCTAATATCCACACCAGAACAGGGAAGAGTATCTACAAAGCTCTCAACAACCTTCACTCCGTTTTCAGAACCTCAACATACCTTAACACCGGATATATTTGTTTCATTCAGAAGAGATTTGGAGTGCAAACAAACATAACAGAGAAGTATTTAGCTATCCTAAACTCATCAAAAATAGTCTGCCATATCTTTTGTGCGATCCTACCTATACATTTATTTTGAATTTAGTGTGATAAGTACCTCACCTTTGCAGTACTGGTTTTAGTAGCGTCCACATGATCTTGCAACATACTATCATACTTTGCAAGCATTTCAAGTAAACTCCAAAAGTTAGCACTATGAGGACTGTTTAATTTCTCATCTCTCAATCCTAAGTACAGCAAAAGATGATGGCACCACATGTTCTTCTGCACTTGACAGCAGGTCTGTATACCCTTCTCAATTGTGAGACCCTTTTACAATTGTTCTGCAAATTCCATCCAGCGAGTGATTGCCTCCATGCATTCCTTTGAACATTTGTGTTGGCAAATTTGTTCACTAAAGTGGAAAAAGTTTGTGACTGCAGTTTTATAAAAGGAAGATGATGCATTTGGCTGGAAAAGCAAAGAAGCAAAACAGAACAAAGTGGCAAGACTAACTGTACATGAACCAAGATCACTGGTGTAATTTCCCATTAGGCATTTGATAAAGAACCACGATTTTAATACTTGCTTTCTTTTGCATTCATTAGGCAAAAAGTCTTGTTCTAAATTAACAATGGGACAGTTGTCTACCAAAAACAGGCTAACAGAATCCATCACTTGGAGCCAAATAGCTGGATCTGTCTTGTCAAAGTGAAAATTCTGCCCCATGCTTTCAATAATCAAACCACGTTCATTGTCCACATCCATAAGTTGCACTAACAACTAGCGGGCAACTTTCTGTGTCTAGAATCAGATACTCTGGCACTCAACAAACATGATAAACCCAAATCAACATCCTCACTAGCTAAGGAAGGCTCAGAAGTGAAAGCAGCAGAATCATCTGCAGATTTTTCATCTGGAACATGGTTGAACGTTGCACATTTCACGCAACGTTGTAGACTCAAACTTTTCTGATCTTTTTCACGGGCCTGCTGCAGCATGTGAGCACCACTCTTGTGTTTGCAGCTATTCATGTCAGAAATCACAGTTGACCGTAACAATTCACCCATCAAGCTCTTCACAAATTAATTGCTAGGTTTGGACTGACTATGGTAGCTGGTGAAAGATCTAGCTAATATCTCTGTGAAACTTGGAGCTATAACCTGTGCTTGAACTGGGGATGGGGGTAGAAGACCGCCCAACATTTTCTGAACCACGAGAAGGGTCACTGAGGCCTGCACAGAACTTCCTCCAGAGCTGCTGCCTCATACAGCTACCCTGACTCCACTCCACCCTGCCATGGATAGGTACTGCCCACTCATTGGCCCACCCATCAGCAAACAGGGAGTGGGAAATGCCTGCATCCATGGGGAAGCGGAGCAGAGTTAGCAGCTCTGGGCAGGGATGGTGCAGCCTAGAACTTGGGGAGGGGCCAGGAGATGCCGGAGGGGGCATGGATCCTCCCACACTGGCCACCCAGCATCTTATAGGGACAGGCTCTGAGCTGAGGCCAGAAGAGAGGGAACGGGGTGGGGCAGGGAGGAGCAGGAATGGGAGGGCAGAAAAAGCCCCAGCACAGACCCCAAGGATTGAGAGCCCCTTCCTCAACTTCCCCCTGTCACTGTATCCCCACCCCCAGAGAGACTCCACACCCCATCAAATCCCACTGCACCCCCAGCCACAGCGATGCCAACGCCTCTGAATCTGACTGAACCACCAGGCCAGTGTCCCCACAACTCCCCCCCCCAAATCCTCAAAGCTCCCAAACTCAGTGAATTTCACTGCACCCCCAGCTCCCTATCTGCAGATAGACCTTCACATATCTGAGAGAATCCCAATCCTACTGAATTTCACAGTGCGCCCAAATCCCGCTGCCCCAATGCCAGTGCATCTCACTGCAACCTCATCTCCAGAAAGGCCCTCCCTTATTTTGGTGTAGATATCAATGAAGCATTAAATGCAGCCCCTGAATTTGGGGCATGAAATGGAGAAGCCTGGAGCCCTACAATGGAAGAAAAGAGTGAAGTTTAAAAAAAAAAAAAGGATCCCTTTATATGGTTGCACTGGAACCATTTTAACCCCCCCTTAACACAGCCCTGTTCTCATACCGCAGCCTATGGCTACTGCTCTTACTAGGACTGAAGTAGTGCTCAAAACATGCTAGGCATTTTCCAGGCCCCAAATGGTGTATGATCTTAGACAGACAACGCACACATTTATAGGATTAAACACAAGCCTAGGAGTGGTGGAGTTGGGTTAGGTCAGCAACAGAAAGCAAAGTAAAAATAGTGATTTTTAAGGAAAGGTTTGGAGGAGACTGAGTTTGCTTGGCTCACAGGAAAGAAAATTGTTCCAAACAGCAGAGACAGCAGTGTGAAAAGAGGCCAGAAGACGATTATAAGAACATTACAGTAGTTAATTGAGAAATGACCAAACTGTGGGCTAGCATTTCAGTCACCATTTGACACACAATAGTCTAGGTAGATCTAAGGAAGAAGCAACAGAAATGGATGACAGCCTTCAGAGTCTCTAGCTGCCCTGTCTCCAGGCCCAACACTCCCCAGGAGGAAAACGTCTCCAAGCTGCTGTGACTTGTGGGGCCACTGAGTTTTTCCTTAGTTTGTGGTGCCTCACACTCTCCTGATAGCTACTAATGTTGCTGCTGTAGCAATGGCGGCTGTAAAGAGATGGGATTACACCTTCGGTGGAGAGAAAAGTCTGTATAACATTTATGTAAAAGTTTCTCACACAAGGCACTGACAAGGCAGAGTACAGAATCATAGAAATGTAGCGCTGGAAGGGACATCAAAAGTTTATCTAGTCCAGAGGCAAGCGAGCTGATTTTCAGTGGCACTCACACTGCCTGGGTCCTGGCCACTGTTCCGGGAGGCTCTGCATTTTAATTTAATTTTAAATGAAGCTTCTTAAACATTTTAAAAATCTTATTTACTTTACATACAACAATAGTTAAGTTATATATTATAGACTTATAGAAAGAGACCTAAAAACGTTAAAATGTATTATTGGCACGTGAAACCTTACGTTAGAGTGAATAAATGAAGACTCGGCACACCATTTCTGAAAGGTTGCCGACCCCTGATCTAGTCCATCCTCCCAGGTTTATACTTGGAAAGCTTTTTCCTAATATCTAACTTAAATTTCCCTGGCTGCAGATTAAGCCCACTGCTTCTTGTCCTACCTTCAGTGGACATAGAGAACAATTGATCACAACAGCCCTTAACATATTTGAAGATTTATCAGCTCCCTCCATCCCAGTCTTCTTTTCTCAAGACTAAACATGCCCAGTATATTTAACCTTTCCTTATAGATCAGGTTTTCTAAGCCTGGCTCTCCTCTGGACTCCAATTTGTTCAAAACTTTCTTAAAAAGTGGCATCCAAAACAGTACTCCACGTGAGGCCTCACCAATGCCAAGTAGAACAGAATAATTACCGTGCATGTCTCACACACAACACTCCTGTGAGTACACCCCAGAATGATATTAGCCTTTTTCACAACAGCACCACATTGTTGGCCCTTATTCAATTTGAGATCCATTACGTATGAGCATATAAACATCTCTTACCGGTAGATGATTAAGTGGCACGTCCACTTGACCCAGGAAGTCGTCTCTAGTCTGTTAATAAAACAGAAAGGAAAAAAATGTTTGTTTATTAGTTCATTTTTAAACCAACAGGAAGGGGGGAAATGGCAAACTGAAGTCAAGTCACAGTGGAGCCAGAGACAACTCTGTACTAATATTTTACTAAGCCTAGACTCTACCCCCACACATGACAACCATCCCACTTGGCAGGCATGGTTCCTGGACTTCAGCAAAATATTTATTATATTTCTACTATGTCCCTCCAAAAGGTTCTCCTAGGCCACTGTATGCACCTGCACTACTAACAAGTTTTAGCTAATGTTTCCTCTAATAAGCTGCTGTCAATGCAACATATCAAAAACTCTCACACGTATATTCCCATGTATTTCACTGGGACTCCTGGCATTGTGCATATTGTAGACTGCATGGGCATTTAAAAGCTAAAATTAAGTTACTACCCCGTCATGTTTACTTCAAAATTTCATAGCCTCTTCTTTTACACTAAAGAGCCACATATATAGAGTGCTGCTCCTCTCCAACTAAGTCAGCCAATCAACCAATCAGGGTAGATGTGAATGAAATTTAAACAATTGACTCCCATATTAAGAGCTTGCTTATTAATGTTCTACCAAAAGAAAATTAAAATATCATCGTATATATTTTTTAAGAACAAGTATCAGGGTGTTCTCAATGACTGTGAAGTATTTACCTTACGAGATGCAGTGATTCATCATACCTGGAGCCTTTTGATTAAGCTTTCCATCCCCCTTCTGATGACCCACATTGCATGTTACAGCTGATCTACATGCAGTTTTTGTACCTCTAACTACATCAGTTTAGAAACAGATATAGTTAAAGCACATGGATGCAGCATCGCCAGTATAAAGGTATTAATATCAGCACAGTTTATTTCTGTTGCACATAAAAAGACAAAGGGCTTGTACTGCTTTAACTACATTAGTTTCTAAACAGATGTGGTAAAGAAGTAAAGTCTGCCCTTACTATGATAACTACGCTGCAATTAGTGGTTCTTGTGAAAACAGCACCGCTCTACAACAGAGACCGAAGCCCTGTGGAATCATTTTATTTATGGTGCTTGCAGCCTCAGGCTTTGAATTTACTTTTCAGATCATCCTGATCTCTAGACAGAGACACAGTCTTATTATCGAATACAACACACACAGAATAAAAGGGGTTCTGGATTTATATTCTGGTTGAGCCCTCTTTCAGGGCAGGTTTCCCCTCTACTTGGATTGAATGATTTATTGTGGATCCCTTGCAGTTCCAACAAGAATCTTGCAAGTCTATACAGCTGATGTATTGAGTGAACAATGGAACAAGGTACTGTATATTTTTATAGTCTTTGTATGGAATGCTTGAAAGAATACTTTTCACCCCAGTGTTTGAAGTGCTGAATTCTTTATCACATACCTCTCCACTATTACAAACAAAAACAAAACAATACGTTGAGTCTTCAAAAATATAAATGTCTTAAAACCATTGTCAACCTTTCACTCCACTGCCTTGATTGATAGGTTACATCTAAAATAAAATTGTAAACTCTTTGGGGGCAGGGACCACATCGTTCTAATTGTGCTGTAAAACATTTAGTACAACGATAGCTGAAAAACCAAGCATCTCAATGTTTTCATTGGCATAATGATGACATACAATAAATAAAATGCTATGATTCAATAGCAACCATCTCCTTCCAGGACAGAAACTTTGCTACATTGTCAGTGGAGCTGTTTGGATTCCTTTACTGGGGGACAGTTGCAACTGATAGTTTAACAAGTACTAAGCACCTGTGCTTCTTATAGCACCAATAGAGGGGAAGATGTTTTCCAGCAGAAGTTGTCCCACCAACTTGCATTCATAATAATTATAATGTCAGTGGTAGTGCCCTGCAATATGAATGCAATTCATTTTAGTGTTATACTACTATTAAAAATGCAAAACAAGGACAACTGATCTCAAAAAAG